TCTTATAGCATGCCGTGCATTTTATGAGCTACAATGCACAGGTGAAATTTCAAAAGCTAAATTTTGGTTAAAGAAGTTCAATGACCTCCTTAAATCTATTTCTATGCATCCTGACTTTGCTATAGGATTTATGTAACTGTCAGTATGTTACATGTAAGCGATGTGACTGCCAGTGCACTGCCAGTTGCCATGTGTGTGGTGGAGTACTGGTGGAGTTTTTGCCTGGCGTTAATATGTTACAGTGGCAGCTCTCTATTGCAATTTGAGCCTGTAGGCTGCCCGTAGGTAATGGATGAGTGCTTACCTTTCTGTCTTGCAAATAGTTGTTGCTACCTACGTACGGATGAGAGCTTCGCATCTATTAATCTGAAGACACTAAACGTACACGCCATCTCGTGGCAACTTTCACTACGATCCCCACGAACATTCCTTTGAGAGGTTCCTGATACATCCTGGTGCGATTCCACTTTTAGCGTGTTATGCAACACATTTCCTTCATTGGATCGAAAACAGGGTTTACTATGAATCCCACCACTCACCCCATAATTATAACCTAAATTAGCTGAAAATAACCCTAGAACCTAGAGTAAACTCTCCCTTTAAGTTAAGGAGTGAATGTTCCCCCTTCTTTTACACCTCTTGACCTTTGACCTTTGCCCCCCAGCTTCGACATCCCAACTCGTTTTCGGATTACCCCCCCACATCCCGAATATCGTGACCGTACGTCGAGCGGTTAAGATTTGTGCCCAACTGTTGACGGACGGACGCCCGGACGGACGCACGGACGGACGATCAAGCGATTCTACAAGCTGCATCTGACTATGTCAGATGAGCTAAAAATTGGGGGCCAGCCAAAGCCAGTCGCCGCGACTTTTGTCATTTGTCGTTACGGTCGGTCGCGGTCGCTGTCGCTGCAGTGTGTCTTGACGTGATGCGGCCACGATGCCGAGGCTCGCCGAGGATTGACACTTTGTGTCTTCCAATCACAGTCTATGCCGCGCCTCTCTCTTATAACTTTTAGGTACAATACTATTAGAGCATGGAATCGCAGATCTCAGGAACTAGGGCATTCTGCTAGACTAGAACGATTTCATACGCTAGAGTTTGGCACAAATACGAATATAACACGCTGTTTTGCGCACAGTGCTAAGTCCTTTTGTTGCATTTTCGCATATCTGTAAGCACAATAAGCCCCACCTTATTCGTTGATGGGCATGAATGGGGCGTCAACGACGTGAGCTGACTCCTGTACCTACTGCCAGCCCGTTGACTTTTCGTAAATAATGAAATGCCCGGCCGATGCATTTCGCATCAAAGAGAAAAAATTTCTGCATTTTCACTCGCTGTCGCAAGTCAATGAGTGCATCATTCAGTAAACATTTCGGCAAAAAAACTCGCTTCGGGAGCCAATGTTTACATGCCACAGCGCCATCTCTTGGATCATTTTGGATAGCCTCCAACATGTTTACTTCTTCCTTAGTTAAGTTAGTCCATGTTTCACTGTTATTTAGGAAGAAAGGTAAAACTGTGTATTCGCATAATTTCACTCTTGCTTAAAGTTCTATAGTATGATTTCCACAATTTTGCGCTTTTGCCCATGTAATGATTATTTCCCTACATTTTTCAGTTCGGACTCTTATCATAGCGTTATAACCTGCTATATCATTAATTAAATTCCCTAGGTATGAATATTTGGTGCATTTTTTGATTACTTGGTTGCCTATTAATCCCCTCGATCCTTTCTTTGTTTGTGAATTTTATGTAACCATTATATTTGTTTTGTTCATATTAAATTCTAATCTTTTTGATTTAGCTAATCTGGGGCTAAACCGACCAGGCTCTCCGACTGTTACACGTACATAGCATGACTGAGCATTTTTTTTACTGTTTTATAATCTCCAATTTCTAGAATATCGTCCATATAATCATTGTCATCTTCTAAAACTACAGAGCATCCGCTGACCGCTGTGGAGACGTGCGCCGAGCCTCGAATTTGGCGCACGTCTCCACTGCGGACAGCGCTTCATACTTGAAGTTTGAACATCCCCGCGGTCGCGTGCGCATATCCCGCGGAACTGCGCGTCTCATCCGCGCGCAGCGCTCAGGATCAACAGCAAAGCTGTGCCACGCAATCTTGTATCATGTCTCTCTGGATCTTAAACTAGAACTGGTAGTGGTAGTGGTATGACTAAGTATGACTGAGTAGGCCTATGACTATGAGTATGAACATCATACATGGGTCCCAATAAAACCAATGCGCCTAACACAACCCTATAACTCTAACCCTAATCCTAACCCTAACCATAACCCTAACCTATTATATTATTATAATATTATATTTATATTGATGTAAATGACATTGGTTTTATTGGGACCCATGTTCTCTATCCTTGAACTGGATGGACCGTGCTTACCGCTTCCATTTGGACCAATAACAGCGGTAAACCTCCGGAAAGGGCCTATCTTCTGTGTGCCTTTGTACGACTTGAAGTTATCAACTTCGATATACTTCAGATGTCCCATAATGGGCAACTCCTGAACCTGATAGCAAGTTCAAATTTACGTAGAATATAATATATTTCCTGCGGTATTATAAAAACATGTAATGGCGGGAAACAATACATAACCTAGTGGCGCCCTCAATTAATTGCGCGTATGACTGAGCAAAAGAGCATTCGTAAACAAGTGGGTGGTTCGTGTCCGTGTATTTCTCAGAAGTCAACCGCATGTCAACACTTATTTTGGGGATCTTTCTTTCCGAGGACCCGTTCTATTGTTAGTTAGCTTGTGCAATTTTAGGTAAATACATTATCTTCATGTTAGAGTTCATGTTTAAATAGTATAGTCACTGTGTAATTAATTACGTTCATGCACTGGAGTGGAGCCTTCGCAGCCCTGCCTCAGACTCGGTGACAGTATCAATACCCTACTATCAATAGTATCATACGTAAGACTAAGACTGACTAAGACTAAGACTAAGATTGTTAGCTCTAGTCTATAACTATATTACTAGAGCCCTTATCTCTGCCATAGGAGATGGCCTGTGGCAGAGCGAAGGGCTATAGTTCTAGAGCTACTTGAGTATGTACAACTCTTAGTGCCCCACTCAGTGATGGGCCTGCGGCAACTGTACGCGGGCTATAGTACTAGAGGCTAGAGCTATACATAATACTGGCTGTTTCTAGCATAGGCTGAGAGGGTCTATGACTCGCCTACTCCACTAACGAGTCTAGGGAGTCGCCTACGCCTACTCCCTAACCCGAACCCTAACCCTAACCCTAACTATATCAAATAGTTACCAGGGTACGTTCCGGCAGTACCCTGGGGGACATAGACCCTATCTATGAGCCTAGCTTAGCTATAACTGTAAGTACCATAAGCCAAATATGTACACTCTATACAATGTGTCAATGATTCCTATTCAGTCGGAAGAGATTATTTCTGGAAAATACTGCCCTTTGAGAAGTCGTGATTGGTCAATACAATGTATGTCAACATTTATTTTTAATAGGACAAAGAAGAACTTGAAAGAATGACACCGCAGTGGTGGACAGTTACCGTACATTTCTTGTCTGTTGAAATTTAATAAACTAATTTATTTTGAAATTTTATTTAAAACAGCAGAATCAGGACAGGTACTATTGCAGATCAGTTTAAAATTCTATTTTTTAATGCCTTCAACAGTTGGTATGATAGCAGATAGGGTGCCCAGCTATGTATATCTGAAGTTAGTCTATTATTCATGCAAGGCGTGCAATTTTTCTTTTATCTCCAGGTTCAAATGTAAAGAATACGCAGCGTGTACAAGTTCATGATGGACATTCTGGAGAAACCACCAGCAGGACATGTGCTGGATGATACACAACCATTGTCCTGTATTATCGAAGCAGCTCAAACCGTACAAGGACACACTGTTAGTACACACCCCCTAACATTATGACACTGTCAACCCTGTGCTAGTATGTACACTTCTAAAAAATGACCTGCCATCTTTAAAGGCTACTTGCTGTTTATTATGAGCTACTGCTATATACATGTGTGCCCGTACCTTTAATTAGATTAAGAGGCAGAAGCACAGGGATGACCTTGCCTTTTTTCCTTCTTGCTCATACTCTCTATATATGGGTATTTGAAGTAATAGTTTGTTTAATATTGAGAAATTCCATTTTTGAAGGACTATGTGATCAAAGTTCAAAGAGGACCAATTCCGGAGAATTGCTGGCGTGTCACACGCCGCTACAGTGACTTCGCTAGCCTTAATGCTACCCTACAAACATACAGCATTGACCTTTCTCTGCCATCGAAAAAGGTGTTTGGCAACCTGGACCGGGAGTTTGTAGCTGAGCGACAGCAGGGTCTACAGGTATAAGCTATAAGTGTTGGCTGTTATTTCTGAAACGTTATTTAAAGATTTGATGTAATTATGCATTACCAGATATCGCTGTCACGTTGGAGTTTATTGCAAACTATATATATGCATTCTATGTAGATACAAGTATATCGTATACAGTGCCATTAGCACGAGCTTGTAACTACTCGCTGTAGGGTGGTTCGATTTGGTCATTGATGTATGTTTAGGTTATACATGTACTATGTGTTTATTATGTAAAGGTGTGCTACTTTAGTTTATTGTAAACTTTCTGCTCTGGCTACGTAACGTAGCAAGTCTAGCTGTACCAAGACTTGAACCATTTTTATAGCCGTGCTAATGATATGGTATGACTATGTAACCATGTGCTGGTGATGATTTCAGAATTTACTACTTTTTCCAGTCATACTTGGATGCACTCGCTGGCCATCTGATGGTGTCGTCCAACATTCTTGTGAAGAAGTTCCTAGATCCAGAAAGCTATGCAATAAACTACCAAGGTTAGATGATGAATGTGACAGGCTTGGAAGGCCAGCAATGTCCTCTGTTCAATTAATAGATATTACTGGCAGTGTTTAGGAACATAGCATGTTTTCTGAAAATTGTGTGCCATGTAGTGTGAGACCATCGCTGTGCATCATTGTACTTTGTTGGGAGTACACTGTCCATCGAGCATTTTCACACAAGTACCTACCTGATACCAGATGCTGTGGTACTATATACGATATATATATATGCTGTGAGTTTTTTCACAGTGGTAAAGCAGCAAGATAGCTAGACTCCTTTACAACAATTCTTTCATTCTCTTTCCCACACGGCAGGACAGAGGCGAAGTTATTTTATCATTAAACTTCATTAACCAGCGTGAAGGCATTCCAGATGCTACTGAGTCATTCATGAAGAGTTTTTCTCTATTTACAGAGAGCGCATTGCAGCATGTGTCCATGTTCTTTCGTTCAGAACCAAAGTGGGAGATGTCAGAAGTTCAGCAGGATATAGGTGAGTGAGAAAGTTTTAGATCTAGCAAAATATTCTTAGAGTAATGTGATGCCGGTCATGTTTGTCTGTAACGTTAACCCTGTGCGACTGTGTTGATCAAACTAGGGCTTCATAGACAGGTTCCTGTTCAATAGTGCCTGCTCTATCAGAAATGGTTTCAATGTATAACTGCCACCAAAGGGTAAATCCAACATTGTCCTTCATAGGCAGATGTCTGTTTTCTCGATGTCTTTGCTAACACGGGTTTTACGTCTGAAGTAATTGAAGATTTTGTGTAGCTGGGCATACCTATTATAAGCATTAGCATTGTTCAAATCATTAAATAGTAGTTTCCTTCATTGTGCTGATAGAGTAAAAGGATTTAGGTATGTCTTGTAAAATACTCAGCCTATGTTATACAACTGTTATTCTACTGTGTAAAATTACTGATCTAATGTATATTTTTTGATAAAATCTGTCATTAATTGTGTAACATAGCAGGCAGGCTGTGATCCAGTTAATTTGTAAATGGCTGGTTGTTTAAAACATTTTGTGGGTGTGTAAAAAATGCCAAATTTTTATATCATTTTTAGGCTGGAGAATCAAAAAACAGTATTTCATGGTAAAACATGTAGATAGACCAAAACACAGACAACTACTGACCTGGGTAAGTTTAACAGTTGGACGTGTATGTTGTAAACATTATTGGTTATCAATGTGACACTATTTTATCAAGTTACAATATCAAGACTTGTTTTTCAAACTCCCAACATACTATTTATATAAGCATGGCACATTCCTAAAGTTTGTTTTGTTTGGAGTGTGCATGACACATCTTTACTATTAACCATGTGTCTCTTGTTATAGGCAAGTTTAGGACCTGACAACTTTCTCTCTACAAAAGATCTGGATTCGATAATGCGACTTTTGCCCTCTTTGAAAGTAAGATTCATTGCTCAGTTTGTAAGGCCTCAATGCATCTGTGCAAGAGTAGATAATAACACAAGAGTGAGACACCTGATTCCCGCATTTTTAACCGATTTTTCTCATCAAAATTTGCCACCAATAAAGAAGCAAGTGTATACGTTCCTCAGCTTATTATGACCACTAATCACTCACCTTCGTGGTACTGATATTCGTTTACATATATTTGCTAGCGTATTGCTGTAAATCGTAATCTTGCACGAGCTGAATTCGATCAATTTACCGCTAAAATGGCGCTATTGTTGTGACCTGTCAAGACAATTTCTGAAGCTATAGTGGCGCCAATATTTAGCAACGAACGATTTCCAAATCATTCGTGCCCCGATAGGGGTTTAATGTACTTGATTACCTGCGCGTGCGTAATGTGATACTTACTGCAAACTACTACAGAGAATATTGTTATTATTGTATTATTACTTATGTAAGATAGTATGTCAATTTCTTGTGTTGCGATCACAATAACTGAGCGCGTCTTGCGGTTCTTCACGAGATCAAAATTCGAAATTTAGATTGTCTCTCAACCCTATCGGGGCACGAATGATTTGGAAACCGTCCATTGCTAAATATTGGTGCCACTATAGCTTCAGAAATTGTCTTAACAGGTCACAACAATAGCGCCATTTTAGCGGTAAATTGATCGAATTCAGCTCGTGCAAGATTACGATTTATAGCAATACGCTAGCAAATATATGTAAACGAATATCAGTTCCACGAAGGTGAGTGATTAGTGGTCATAATAAGCTGAGGAACGTATACACTTGCTTCTTTATTGGTGGCAAATTTTGATGAGAAAAATCGGTTAAAAATGCGGGATCGCTTCTTTATTGGTGGCAAATTTTGATGAGAAAAATCGGTTAAAAATGCGGGAATCGGGTGTCACACTCTAGTGTTATTATCTACTCTTGATCTGTAGTAATTTTGTACAGTATGTAATTTTTGTTCTCTATTGCACAAGGGATCACCTCAGTGTGCCATATAAACATGTAACATATACTACATGGCTGCTTCGTTTCAGCATCCATTTATTCTCCCGATCACATTCGCGATGGCAAATGAAAATGGAGGCCTAGCCATTAGGACCTACATTTCTGAGGGAACTCTACGTGACCGTGTATACAAGGTAAGGCAGCTAGTCATGCAAAGTCTCCTAACAGTTAAAAGCGAGATGATTACAAACGGATTGGATGAGGATCAATGTTTGACATGCTAATATCAGGAGTGAATAATAATAATAATAATCTATTATTATTCACTCCTGTTAATATGTAATCAGTGAGCCTGTTTTTCAGCAGCATTAGGTGCTTTGCAGCTATACTATGAACATATTTATACTATATTATGAGATAGATATGTATAGGCATGTATAGACACAAATGTGTTCTTGGTTATACTATTAGTAGCAGCATTGTTCACTTTTCAGACAAGACCCAGGCAACCATACCTGAAGAAGTATGGAAAGCCAAAGAGTGTTACTCCGTTGCCACAGAACGAAATTAAGACCTTTGGGAGACAGATCTTAGAAGCACTAAAGTTCCTCCATGACAAAGGTCTACCCTATGGTAAGTGCTTGGTATTATTGCTGCTCATGGCAAGAAATGTCATGGATGTTCTAAACCAACTCACTGCAATAATTACGCATTAGAGTACTTGATAATAGAGAGTAGGAAAAGCGTTGTTGTTAAGGTATGGTTGCGGCCTTATTTATGAGAAACTCTTAAAAGTATAGATATGGGTGTGTGTATGCATCCTTGTGTGCATACGTACATGCATGTGTGTTTTCTTACCATTTTGCATGTTAAATCTTTTTTAGGGCATTTGCATGCGGGAAACGTAATAATAGATAATGGATCCTGCAAGCTACTGGATGTGGAGAATCACTTGCTAGGCCTGCCTGGCTTCTACCGATCTTACATCACTCTGCTGAAACGTGCCTCGGTAATAACACAAGTACTTAGTTAGTTCTTAGGTACCTTTCTGTGGACGTAACTATGTCAGTAAATGCAAAGATTCACAGTTTGAAATAATGCATATCTGTACAGTGCGTTAAGTTTAAGAAATACTCACACCAGGTCAATGGTATTGCAGATTTAACAGTTTACCAGAACAAGCCTAAATTATCTGTCGAACAACACTATGGAATACCTTTTTTATTCGTCTGTAAAGTGAAACTATACAAATAGATAAACAAATGTATATGTCATGTATTTGTATATTGAAATCGTTTCATGGTAACAGCACACTGGTCAGGTAAGGAAAACGTGACAAAATACTATTGACAGAGTGTGAAGATGAAAACAACATGTTAGAGCTTTAGTACTAGAAGCACTGCATTTTATACTTGTAGCTTGACTGCTAGCACTCACCTTATATGTACCTCACAATATAAGTTCCTAACTCGATGTGATTAGCTACAATAACTGACGTTCTGTAGAAGATTATCATGTTAGAATATCTCTTTTTCATTATGCAGTTGTGCATTGCATTGCAGAGCACTGAAGCCATTGATGTGTATTGTTTTGGGCACGTGCTGTATGAGATGGCTGTGGGCACGCCACTCGCTTCAGCTACCTGTGATAGCCTACCAAGCTGCTGCTCCCCTCAAGTTCGTAAGTACCCCGCAAGAAATTACAGCTCTCTCTCTCTCTCTCTCTCTCTCTCTCTCTCTCTCTCTTCTCTCTCTCTCTCTCTCTCTCTCTCTCTCTCTTCTCTCTCTCTCTCTCTCTCTTCTCTCTCTCTTTCTCCTCTCTCTCGTCTTCTCTCTCTCTCTCTCTCTCTCGTTCTCTGCTCCTCTGTCTCTTTCTGTCATCTCGTGTCTCTCTGTCTCTACTAGTCTTTCTCTGTTTTCCTCTGTCTCTCTAGTCTCTCTGTCTGTTTCTGTCTTTCCTGTCTCTTCTCTCTCTCTCTCTGGTCTTTCTCTCTCTCTCTCTCTCGCTCTCTCGTATCTCGCTCTCTCTCTCTCTCTCTCAGCATGGTTCTCTTGCCAATAAGTTACTTGGTTGGGCAAAATTATGAAATCATGAAGAGGGAGCATAGTTGTGGTTCTGCTGGCAATGTTTTAAACCCTGTTACTTGGAATGTTGGCAATTACAATATTCACAGCAATGGGACAAAGGAATGTGCATTTGCAACATCACGCATAAATTTCCCGGGAAAGGGTGCTGGACTCCCGTCCGCACATAGTGCCTTATTCAATCGCAACATGGCCACGCCTTTTGCTAAACCTTGCATCCACTACGTCGGGGTTGAAAGTTCTGACAGAATATTAGTAAACTAGTTTCTGTCTCGTGCAAAGTCTGACACTGGTATGTGTGTGTGTCTGTGTGTTGTCAGGGTCGGTACTGGAGATGGTGCTGACCTCTGAAGCACTGCGGACCGGTCTTCCCGATGTTGCTACTCTCATCGCCCAGCCGTGAGTATTGCGACAGAGCCACATGATATCAAGAGCGATCGTATTTGTTGAATGATTGTGCATTGCTGCTATAGGCCAGAGGCCCGTTATCAGAAACATCATAACCAGTTTTGTTTACCATAAGTCTAATATGTCGTCACTTTTGCAGGAAACGTGACTTTGTGCCATTTTATGCCATTATAGATTCATGATATAAGCTGTTTTGTTGTTTATGACAATCGTGCGCTGCTGGCTACACTCGTGCCATCTAGTAGTACTTTATGTTAATTCTGAATCAAATTCCTGAGCACTAATACAGTTTTTAACACATTTTAACTGTTTAAACATCATGATACAACCGGGCGAAACGACTGAGTTTCCATGTGAGTTTTCTGGCAACCAGATTAGAATTTTCTCTCGTGTAGTTTGTTCAGCGATGTGCCGGTATCATACTTGGAGAAGCCGCAGATGAAGGTTTCCTCGCGGCTCAGAGAAGCCATTCAGAAATCAAAGGAAGCCATGGAGACACGGTTAAAAGAAGAGAAGAAAGCGGTGAGGCATTTTTGAAACTTCACTTCCTGAACTTATACTTCAAAATCAAATTAGGAATGTGTTGAAAAGTTATTCACGAAAATTTTGATCACGATGTGGTAATATTGTTGGTTGTTCATCGTTGTTTAGATAACGCAGCATAAACGGATTTCCAAGGCACAAGCAAAACACATGTCAGAAGAAGAAAAGAAAAAACGAAAGAAGGTTTGTAGGCTTAAACACGGTTAGGCCTCTATTGTCAGCTTCTGTTTCTACAATCTTCTAGATTAAATATTGATTATAACTAAATATTTTAATGTTTTGTCTTTATCTATCTATCTAACACTAACTGGCAATCATAGGTAGAAACAAATAAGTGATCTGAGTAACTGATATGAATTTGTTTAGACAAATTACTAAGTACTAAGTTTGTGTAATTAAATTTGCATTATTTGATTTAATGCATGCGCACACGTAAGAAGTGAGGCTTGTAAGCATTGGCATTACCTTCCCTTGTGCTCACATGTAATTGTTATTGCGATGATCTAGAAAGCACTGTCTGCAGCAAGGATTGCACAGAACTCGAGTTCAGAGCAGGTGAATGGCGGAGTGAGTGGTGACAGCTCCAGCAGCCGGTCCACGACTCCACAGATGGCAGGTACATATTCCACCGCATCAGGTTGCCTTACAAGACCTCCCTATCTTTACTTATGCCACTGGTGGCAGGTACATATTAAATCATGTAAAATTACCTCACAAGACCTCTCCATCTATACATATGCCACTGGTGGCAGGTACATATTCCATCACGTGAAATTATTTCACGATCCCCCACTGTCTTTACCTATTTCCTGGGTAAATTTACTGTCGCATGATTTGATTTTGATTTGCTTTGGATTTGCACATATACGTACGTTATATATGATCATTCACATTTGGTATGGTGAGATAATAGCCAACAAATGCTAAAATATTGTCACTGCTGGTGTCCAAGCTGCTTTCCTACCTGCACACACAACCGTGTCTAGCCTGCAAAAAGGTGCTAGGAGTGATATCATATATGCTGCTACTACTATTATAATTACTGCAATACTGATATTATTATACTCCTCATGATGTTCATAGGTGATCCGGTAGAGGTGCTGACAATTTATCAGTGTACATGTACACGGATTTGATGGATTTATCCCTAGTCAAGAATGAGCATAATATGATTAGTAGGCTAGGCTATATGATAAGTCAGGTAGGCTTTTGAATCTGCAACATGAGCTAAATTTTCACAAAAAGCCATTGTTCTGTTGAAAGCTGTGTTGAAATTGCTATAACTTGTAGACTCTGTAAATACTGTCTAAAGTTGTCTCTATATGTGCTAACCTAATTTTAGCTAGTTAACTACTACTGTGTTACATTCTATATCCGTCTAGTGTGGTCAAACGTATATTAATACATTATTGGGCTGTCACTTTTCTTGGTCTTTCGCTAAATTATTACCAATTTTCACACATTTTTTTGGTCATTAACGGCATAAACTTATGTATAGTTAATCCCATGCTTAAGTTCTTGCTACAGGGGATACCGGTAGCCTTCAGAATTATTCCCATTCGGGATAGATGAGTATTCACCTATGTGCCCAACCCGCATTTTTCTCATGCTGCATTACACTGCCATGAAACTTGCAACATGAACAGCAAGCTGGCTGATACTTATGTGAAGTGGATGCTGTTTACTGTAGTAGCATTATAGCAGCTGCTAGACTCTTAGTGGTTTGTAAAGATTTTGCAATTCTGAAGTTTTTAACTGGGGAAAATAACTACAGAGGTTTTAGCAGCTGTCAATAAAATTGATAATCTATTCATCTGATCGCATTTTTAACCTTGAACGGTGTAAGTAGGCAACGTGCGAGTCATTATTTAACGTTTATACATCGCTTGCAGGCATGAAAACGTGAACTATTTGCGCCAGGCAATTTAAAGGATCATAGGTTTGAAAGGTTTTATACATATTCTACTACTAGTCTACTATTACTACTACCACTACTCGTAGATACCAGGCATGCTGACTGTCAACAGACATTTTCTGTCATGTCTATGTTTAGCTGTTATAGTGCACATAGGTTGCAAGTTGGGGTTTGTTACAGTTTCGTTCAACGTGCGTAGATCAGTGAGATCGGTAGATCGAGTATGTAGGCATGTGGAGAGTTGGTGTTTTTTTCGATACAGCATCATGGAAAATCTGTGCATGCTGGTTGCATTCATTAGATAATCCAATATGTTAATACTCCCTACATCTTAATAGTCCAATGTGATGAAGGTCAGAGGACACCTACCAAGCCCGATGTACTGTTGAAAACCACTGTGGGACATTTTCATGTTTACAGTATCAATGACTATTTACATCTGTAACACATCGCTCATTCACCGAGAAATAAACAGTTAAACTAGAATTTTTTTTTGCCAAAATCAAGCTTGCTATGTCCTAATGTACGCTGAAACACAAGTTGACATTAGACTAGATTACCCTTACTAGCACTGATGTATTGTAGTGTGGACGGCTGCCCATTCATCATTGGTAGTATTACTCCTTAAACATGTTAAAACGCCTGCCATTGGTCATATACACCCAATCTTTATAATTCTTATGCCGTACCTGATACATGGATATAGTTGGCAGGATGGGTGGATATCAATGGAAGATTCTTTTCTTCTTAGTACTCGGAGAAGGGTATCCAGTTCTTTATGCGATAAGGTGGATTTTACTGGGTCATTGGAAATGTCCATACTTTCTGTCGTAGTATGCTGGTGTGAGGAATTCCTTCTTAGCTCACCCTTCTAGTAACATGGTGGAAGAGGCTATACTTGGCACTGGTATGTTTGGTTCTACGTACCACGTACACTCCTATGATCTGACCTTTGGTGTTTTATTCTTGCACGTTGATAACTTTTCTCTACCCCTTTACAGTTTCTATCCGTCACTTACTTTGTGTGTTCACTTTGCACGTGAAAAGCAGTTTTAATCTATCCATTTATTCTAGGTTACGCTAGTGTCCTCAGGGGTTAATAATGACAAATTTGTCATTATTAACCCCTGGTATCGTGTAAGTATCAGGCGATTGATATTAGCAGGTTGTCATGCGTTTGTATAGGTTTTCTTAAATGTGGTCTCATATTCTCTCGTTATTTTTTTAACATAAACTCGGTATCTGTGGTTTATGTTTTGATTGAGATGCGTTGTTGTTAACTCAGGTCACCCTAGTATCGCTAAAAGGTCTATGTCCCCCAGGGTACTATCGGAGGGTACCCTGGGTACGGTTCGATATATCGGAACGTATCCTGGTACTATCTAATATGCCGGATCGTACCTCGCCTACTCCACTAACAAGTCTAGGGAGTCGCCTACGCCTACTCCCTAACCCTGACCGTAACCCTAACCCTAACTCTAACCCTAACCATATCAGATAGTTACCAGGGTACGTTCCGATATATCGAACCGTAGCCAGGGTACCCTCCGATAGTACCCTGGGGGACATAGACCCTATGAGCACTAGTATCTAATCCCTCATAACACATACGACACGCCATGGAATCTCGAATGTTTTATGGAGATGATGGCATAAACGTATTGTTTTCAGTAGTGCAAAGGTTTTAGGCGTATTAGCCGGAGTTTTATCATTGAATATTCTCTAGCGAAAGAAAATTGATGGTACATAATCAATAAACAATACAGTTATCCATCTTGTGTGCCGACTTCACGTGCAGTGACGGCGGGTGAACACAAGTGTAGAAACGTACAGTGTCGTATGTGGAATGTAAATGAATAAACACCTGCAGGTTTAGCTCGGTGAAAGTTTCATTCGGATCGATGATTTACGTGACCGTCAGGTAACATTTGTTGGAATTCTCATTGTTTTTGTCTACAACGTATATTTCTTCTGACATTTTCAGGTACACTCAGCCCCACACCGCAGGTTTTGACACCCCCTCTGCCTCCCCCACCGCCTGGAACCCTACCCGCTCCCATCTCCCAGCCCTCCCAGCCCAGTGCCATCCCTGTCAGCTCACCAACCCTGCCTTCCAGCGACCGTGGCGCCCTCTTAGGATCTATACAAGGCTTTAGTAAATCTGCACTGAAAAAGGCAGAGACAGAGGACAAGAGTGCTCCGCGGATGTAGAGGTGTTGGTGCGTCGCGTGTGGCGCAGTACCAGCCATACGACTCTCTGTGTGGTTAGATACCTTAAACAGACAGTAAGCGAAGGTAGAGATCTGACCAGGCAATCATGTTCGTCATTATGGATGACGTCATCATCTCTTTATAGCGAGTGAGAGTGCGAACAAAGTAAAATCTTTCGGTTGCAAGGACCATCAGTGTCGTTAGCAAAACCTAGATTTCGCTGAGTGATTGTTGGTTTTATTACAAGTTTGGACGTAGTACTTGCGAATATAATTATAGAGTCCAATGGTTTCTGAATTACCGATCGCACAAGTTTTTAATCGTTTGTTTATTACCCTATAACCACCGTTTTATTGTTATAAGAAGTTTAACTTGTAATTACCAATATTTAGGAGTGTTGAACAGCAAATGTGTGAAACGTTTAATGTATGTTGTGAAAATTCCAAGAGCTTTGTTGTGAGTCTGAGAGTCAGAGAGTAGAGGATCTACTCGAGTATTGTTGGTTGTTAATTAATAGCTGAGATATTTTGATTATATGTTGTAAGTAAGAAAGAGTTTCCGTAACATTGTTACTTATTACAGCAGGCGCGTATCTGTAATCGCCTTGTAGACATGGAAAAGTAGACTGTTTTGAAGCTGGCTTTAAGCGGTTCTGACTGCGCATGCGTATAGAGGGGTTATTGCAAACTATGGTAACCACGTAGGCGGGATGTCTCTGCTATTGGATAACTGAACTATTATCTGCAGTTGTGCTCGGCACACGAGAGAAAAACATAGTTTATTTTTTATCTGTGCAAAAAAAACGAATAAAACAAACGCGATGTGGGCAGGCGTGTGTTGCATATGCAAGGCGTGCATAAACGCGTGCGGCTTCACGCTGAACGCCCTATCGTGTTTGTTACACTGTGACTGCGTCTAGTGTATGTTGAATCTATGATCGCTAGCGGTAGCTCTTGCGCACTACTTAATAACTATGTTTGTCATGTTGCTAGAAGTTAGGTTAAGTGTTGTTACCGCATTTCGCGGCTTATAGGAAGCTTTTTTTCCTAGAAAATGTCTCGAAAATCTTCCTGCCATCCTTTAAGCAGGTCGGTGTGTAGCAGGCAGGATTAATGCTAAGATGTTTAGCTAAGGTACGGTATATTATACACCTCCGCGGAATAGCCACAGTAGATATTGCACAGTGCTGACAGTGCGGGGGGCTTATTAAAATACAGCGAATATGGGGGGATACTATCAAGAGCGTATTAAGAAGAAGCTTCTTAATACGCTCTTGATAATATAATATATTATATGGAATATAGAATATAATAGTATTAATGCACTTATGTCGAATACAAGAGTGCGCCCTTAATTATGTTGAGCACAGACCTGGTAGTAGGCAGGGCTATTATGTAGTCAAGCCTTTTCCTCGTATTATTATTAACTTCTAAATTTAAGCGCGGTCTATCGCAGCGTCTTGTAAGCTCAGAAATAGGTTACTGCCGACGCTTCCGCATGCTACCACATTATCACTATACTGCCCCGTGATATATTAGCCTTTCCGCCTGATTTTATTGAGCGTCATACACAGTTGGACACCGGTAGACGCCTTTACATACCACGGGGAGACGTGAAGTGTCATATCTTATACACTGCAGCTGGTGAGCCGTGCGTAGCGGCCGCTAGCCCAAGAATATAACGTGTATGTATATATTGCTCTCAGCCGCCTAGTACTGCCATGACAGATATATTACCATGAACATATATATCTATATATTTATTCGCGCGCCGATAGTCAGTATAGCATAGGAACAATATCGCTCCAGTCTGTTTGTCTGTCCGCTTTCTCTCATCCGTTTCCCGCTCAAACGGCGGCCAGCAGACGCAAGGCATCTTTTCTTTGCTGCTTCGTTTCCAACGAATATAT